ATTATGTACAATCACCTTCAGGTACAATTGCTAATTTATCCCAGCCTGCCAGAACTGGTTTAATCATCTTCAGTGTTATTGTTAGGAAGGTGGAGAAACAACGCTGGCTATCAGTTCTCCTGCATATGCTGATTAGGTAGGTTTATGGATGCTTTTTGTTTTATTATTTGTTGTTTGCTGAAATGCTGCTTTGGAGTCAGGGACCTGCCTTTTGCTCTGAACACACAGAGGATACATGGGGTTCTAATCCCTACAGGTGAAAGGCTATAGAAGGGATGGCCCAGTGTCTGGTGATGAACTGAGAAAATTACTCAAACTAGTGGTTCTCAATTTTTTTTCCTCTGAAGTCACACCAGAGGGATGATGTCAGTGAGTTTCACACACTTATGGTAGTAAGATCCATTCACCACTGGCTGCCAAGTGTTTGGAGACCAAAGGCTTTGAACAAAGTAGTTGCCATTCCTTCCCTGACACAGACATGCAGATTTGTAGGATGCCAACTTCCTTCCAAAACATTTTGTAATTGGTGCCTCAAGAGGTCTTAAATGGGTTGTTTTGTTCTGTTATGGTGATGGATACTTGAATCTTCTACTTTGCATTGCATACATAGGGCATTCACTGATTGCCTGCTTATCACATAGTACGAGGCACTTTTCATTCTTTGTGTCTCATTCTCACATAAAGCCAATAGGTGGGCATTATTTTCTTTATTGTACACGTGAGTAAACCAAGGCAGAGAGACCAAGTGGCCCTTCCACGTTACTATAACTAGTGGGAAACAGAGCCAGAATCCAAATGCTGGTCTTTTTTAATATGAGGTTCATATTCATTTTGCTGTAGGGCATTTCCTCACTTTGCTTAAAAGAAAATGGTTCCTTCTACCCACTAAAATCTCACGTGAAAAAAATGTAGCGGAGTGTACGCAACACAAACTGAAGCAAGTGAACATACTGTAGAATGTGGGCTTTCTCCACACAAAACATCAAAATGCCCAAAGAACATTCATAAGTCTAGATTCAAAAAGAGATCTACCCCTCAAAAAAAAACTAGAAGGAAATACAACACAATGTTATCAGGTATTATTTTTGGATGGTGGATTTGTGTGTGATTTTTATTTTGTTTTTTATACTATTTTAGTTTTATTAAGTGTTGAAAAAAACATTAATATAAGAATATTTCACAATGTCCTGATATCTAAAGATGAGCAACGTGAAATAAATGGAGGGAAATAATATCTGTTATAAATGATAAATGAGTAAATAGTTTGAAAAAAATCCTTCCAAGGATGGATTCAAGAGCAGCTGAGGAAAACCTCTGATGCAAGAAAATTAAATAAATATTTTCCCTCCACATATCAAATATTTTTACCTCTGTGCCTTTGCTTAGCTTCCTCAGGCCTAAAATGTTCACATCCTATTTTCACATCTCTAAATATTAGCTATTCTAGGCCTACATCAAATGTTAACTCCAACTTGAAGAATTCTCTGATCCAAAACTGGAGTCAATATTGCATGTGTTCCCCTACTCCTTAATTTACTTGTGACTTCCTTAATTTATAATTTATTCAAAAAAGTTCTTAAGCATCAACTTTTATCCTAAGTTTGAGGATACAATAATTTTTCAGAGTAAAAAAGGTTTTATTATATCCATGAGAATTGTATAGATTGGAAGAAAAGAACTTACAATAAAATGAGATGGTATTTTAATGAAGGTATTGCAGTATGGAGGAAGTATAAAATAATTTCAGAAAGGCATTCTAAAGGAGATGATTTGGAAGAATGGGAAAATGATAAGGAGTAATTTAGAAGGAGAAGCAAAGATAAGGAATACAATGTCAGATAAAATGAACAAAATCATAATACATTTAAGTTTGTCCATCTCTATTGCCCCCATGAAAAAAAAAACTCTCTTTTTCAATAAATGGAAACAATTAGATCAATAAAAGCATAGTCTCTTTCACCCATCCAATCACTGAAGCCATCAAGATTCATCCTTGATGCTGCCCTGCCCCTCACTCAGATTATTCAATCATGAATTTCCATAAATGCTGCTTGAACCCTCAAGGCAGCAGTGGGAGCAGGAGGGGCAACTTTTCTTAGGTTCAGCTGTGTTTAGATTGACATTCGGCACTAGTCTCCTTAGAAGGACATTGGGTAGGAACCACATCCTGGCAGCTGGACAATATTGGGCCTTCCTCTCCATGGGAATCCTTGCAAGGATTCATGAGGATGACAACTCAACATGGTGGTCTGGGGATCACCTTCTCTTCAGATAACACAACTCAGATGCAAAGAGATGAGATCCATGTTGCACAGATGTTGAGACTTCTCTGGTTTAAAAGAAGCCTCATGCTCCACAGGAGCTAAAATATTTTCTGACAATTCCTTAGCATATCTTCCAGAAACCCTGCAAGGGACATGCCTGTTGGTAGAGTCATGGCACTCATAGAAGCCAAAAGCATAGCATTCCCATCATACATACAGAGTTCATTCAAAATCTATCCTTTCCAACCTAGTTGAGAACTAAAGATGCAAGTGGAAGAGGCTGAGATTACTCAAGGGCAATAAATAGCAAGCAGAAACCGCATCCAACAACATCCATTTTAAGGGAAACAGATTTATTGGTAAGCTCTGGGAGATGAGCAAGAATAAGAAATTAAGTGGTTAAGGGAGAGGTCTGAGAAGAAATGGATGGGGAAGGTATTTCTGAGGCCCAGGGAGGAGACCATTTCATGGGGCTTTCAGAGTAGAGTAACTATAACTCTATGCTAAAAAGTGGTCATATAGAATGAGAACTAAAAATCAACTAGGAACTGGGCAGCTAGGAATTATTAATACACTCAGGAAGAATCACTTATGTGGAATGGTTGGAGACAGAGCAAGTTTCTATGGACTTAAGATTGAACCAAGAGGAATGCTAGCATATAGGTCAGGGGTAATGACATCAAGTGATTAAAAATATTTAAGGGCATATATGTTTAAAGGGCAACGCAGGGCTTTGATGTGGAATAAGTATGCAGTAAGTATTTGCTGATTTGATTAAATTTGTGCTATATACATGATAGGATATTACTAAATAATGAGAGAGGTTTCCTTATGATAATGGGCATTTTTAGATAGACTGAGAAACACAGAAACTTTGCCAGTGCGTTTTTTGGCTTGAGGAACCCTAATGGCCAGTGTCTTCTTAATTGTGCTCCTCCGTGCTTGGGCGAATCCATGTGAAGCTTCTCCACAGAAGATGCACCACAGGGTAAGAGACACTAAAAATACTTCTGAGATGAATGACAGTCACTTTGATTTGATAGCTCAGTGTCAAGTGTGATAAGAATGACCAGAAAGGAGAAATCATCAATGCCACCTAAAACTGAAGACCAGACAGTCACAGCTCTGAACACATTGTTGTCACAAAAGGTATTGACAAGCTATGTTATTTAGGATAAACGTGAGCGTAGAGATATTTCACCCTCTCCCTCCTGGAGCTCTTTCTCCAAGCAATAGAGGAAAAATGAAGAAATCAATAACAAGGAAAACAAAAAACGTACTCACTGGAATGTGAAAGGATGTGTAAATATAAGAGGTTTCTACAACATCAACCATTTCAACCAAGTCACCCGAGCAGCTGGGCAAGGAGACCCATGTGAGGTAGACACTGCATGCCAGAGAAAATGACAATGATAACAAGGTCTTCTCTAGGTGCCCGGCAGGCTTTCTATACCCCGTTGTGAGAATTAAACGAGTCAATATACATACTGTATTTAACAAAAAAGACTGCACTCTGCTTAGATACTTCTGGTAACTAATACCAGTGAAGGGACAATCTCAACTAAAAGTAATATTGAGATAAAGTCCAAACAGTTTAATGTCACGCTGGGGGAAACTGTGGTATAGGGAGAGATCTGTGAACCGAACATCAGTGTCAGATCCTGGGACTGCCGCTATTTAGCTATGGGACATCAACACCTCAAACCTCACTCACTTTTCTATTTGAAAGATGAAGAAAGCAGGAACAATTACTGAAGGTGGCTGCTGTGAGGGCTGCGGGAAATAAACCACCTGACACCACAGTCCTTAGAAAGGGCCTTTACCTTGGCTCACAAAGAAAAGAAAGAAGACATTTTTGGTCAACTTGCGAGTGTTTCATAGTTGGTTGGAGAGATAATAGATAGATACACATGGACATTAGCCAGATGGTAGTGATAATGTCCCTGCCTTTTCTATGCTGTACCTGCATGTTGATTTTATCCAGTAAAGTGCCCAATTGCATTATGATAACTATCTTGAAGAAATACAGCTATATTCTTTTAGTCTGATTCCATACCCAGTGCTCCTCAGTTGTACTGGAAACCTAGGAGGAGGTATCGTCAGCATGTCTCATCTCTACAGCATCAGATTTTGCAAGATTGAACTATGAGAATAATGTTGACTCCCATCCCCTCCCCTGGATGAAGACCAGGTAGACACTGTCAACCTTCTCTCCCTGGGACTCTCAGTTTTGCTGATCACCTTCTATCTGTCTCGTTTGTTCTTTGCAGTTTCTTGCTTTCATAAGCTCTTATTTGGGTCTCAGAGCCATTATGGGAACTGAGATATTGTATATTTCCTGTGATTTTGTAATTAAACTTAGGAAGTTATCTTACTATGTGTGTGTGTTTTATTTTTCAAATTTATGGGTGATACTTACTTCCCCCAGGATTTATGAGTACAATAACAAAAATCATCTTAAACTGTTCAGTGGCAGCACAGCCTTTTACTATCTTCATAGAATTTAGTTTAGTCTCAACCACCTTTTATCAATAGTGCACTGTGTACTTTCACATGCCCGAAATCAAGAGTCCAAGAACATAAAGGTCATTACAAACATAACTGTATATTGCCTTTAGGTTGAATTGTGTATTAATTTTTATCTTCTTTTCAACAATTAAAAAAAAGGTTAAGTAGCATAAGGAAGGCAGGTGAAGCATGTGGCATGCAGTAGCGGAAGGCTGTTAAATGGTTCACCTCCACAGACTACACCGTCGAGGTCTTCACAGCGGCGATCATCGCACTCGCAGGTCTTCCCATACACCCTGCGGTCCCCCGGCGGGTAGCAGGTACATTTGCCACATTCACATTTACCTGCAAAATACAAAGGGGGAGCATGTACATTAGGGGATTCATAGAACCAGGAAGGCTTTCAAAGGAAACAAGCACACTATTAAAGCCAGACCTCCGGACCAGTTCTAGGCTGGACCATTTCTAGCTCAGCAAACAACTTTTCTTTTTCTTTTTTTAAAAAATATATTCCATTTATTTCTCCACAGAGAGGAAGGGAGAGGGACAGAGAGTCAGAAACATCGATGAGAGAGAAACATCAACCAGCCGCCTCCTGCACACCCCCCACTGGGGACGTGACAGCAAACAAGGCACACGCCCTTGACCGGAATCGAACCTGGGACCCCTCAGGCCACAGGCCGACGCTCTATCCACTGAGCCAAACGGCCAAGGCGCAAACAACTTTTCTGAACCCCTTATGGTAAGCTGAAGGTTAGACACAAGCACCAAGGTGGTCAGGAGTGGAAGTGACAATTCCAGTGACAATTGCTGGCTCAGAAGTCATTCACGTTTACTACTGTCCACCTTTTGTTTCTTTCATCTTTGAAGACTAATTCAGTTATTAAACTCTCTGGGTATTTCATATTCATCTTAGTTTGATGGTACCATTGAATGTAACTGAATTGACTTTACATATATTGAGAAATTTAGCCTAATGTGTTCATTTAAAAATATTTTTCTTTTGGGTGTATCCACCACATAAAGAAAAAAATGTTCATTGGTACATTGCAACATGACATTTTAGTGATTGTTTTGCATCAATTTTATAGTTCATTAAACACATTTTAACATGGAGCATGTGTCACTGCACATGACTTAAATATCTTTATCATTTTTGACTTAAAAATAAACAAGTAAACATTTTTTTTGGAATGAGTTTGGTTCATCGTTGGGGACTGCCTTAATATCATTATGACCTTTATCATCACTTCCTGAGCTGTAAGTATGTGTCAAACATTATAATTTCTTAAATTCCATCATTTTGTTTTCATAATAACACCCATTGACTAGCATAACCACTATCATTTACTAAACAAGAAAAAACAAGGCCAAGTGACTTTCCATGGTGACCCAGTTCATAAGGGAGAGATTCAAAATTTATATCCATGCTCATTAATGTTAAAGTGTGCACACTTAACCATTGAGCCATGCTGCACCTGAGTATACCCATAACAGAGCACCAGAAGACTATACAAGAGAGTAAATTCCTTTTGTTTGAGGAATTTGGACTAGTTTGCCAAAATTTCAGCTGGGTAACTACTTTGAGACATCTGTTACTCTCTGTCATTAGCCAACCATCATAATTATACACCCACTGAAATGATCATGAGATGCTTTAGGACTGACCCCACACTGTTGTTAGTCATTCTGTTGCTGCATTTGTATCTTGTTAAAGAAATTCCGAGTTGGTAGAGAATGGGAGAAGGGAAAATTAGTATTTAGAATCATATAATTTCAGAGCTGTAATGATAGATGATCCAATGAAGTGATTCATTATCTTTTCTGGCAGAAGTGTTGGGGTCATGGTCCCTTTGAGAAACTGGTGAAAGACATGGCAATAGATACTCCTGTGCTGGCTGCCCTTCAACCTGTCTGTTTTTCTACTTGGAGACAGTCCCAAGTTCAGCAGAAGACAGAGTCCCTTTCCTTGCCCAACGAGATTCCCTCTTCGTATGCCCTGGCAGACAGGACAGGGACACACCAGACACTCTTGGCAGGGCTTTGATTTTTGAGGGTGACTTCAAGGGCACAGGAGCAGTGAGCTTGACACACAGCGGCTAGTTCAAAAGTGGTGGCAGCTGGGGCTGGTCTTGGCCGTGCCTTGCTTAGCTGGAGTGTTGCATGAGCTGATTGTCCGGCATTGCATTCTGAGCCTAACCCCTTCTAATTCAATCCTGTTTCATTCCAGTTCATAAAGTTGGTTTCTGTTGTTTGCTATCAAGAACTATAACGGGTAGACTCCAGATCTCTCCCTGGAAGAACATACCAGCACACATTTATTTTTTGTAAAATGTCAGGAAGATCCATGACTTGCTGCAATGCATTTAATAGATGAGGAAACTCAAGCATGCTGAGGCTAAATGATTTGCCTATAGCCAGGGAAATAGACATCGGTAGTGTTGGTGCTAGAACCCAGATCATCTGAGGCAGGAGATATTCCAGTCCAACCAGAGAGATATTCCAGTCCAACCAGAGAAACACTATTCCAAGTAGTCTCAAAGGAAAAATATCCCAAATGTTTATCAATAATAGAATAGATAAATATCTATTATATTCTCAAATGGAACACTGTACAACAATTAAAATGAAGGAAGCACCACTGGTTGCACATCATGCTTGAATCTTAAAAATGTAGAGTGTAAGAAGTCAGCCACAAATAATACATATTGTTAGATGATATAATTTCAAAACAGGCAAGGCCAAACACCTTAGTGTTTAGGAATATATGCTTAGCTGGACAACTAAAGACAGGTGTAGAGGTGATTACCATGAAAGTGAGAATAATGGTCATCTTTTGGGGGAGGTTTGTGGGGTATTTGGCAAGAGATAAGAGGTTGCTCTTGGGATTCTGGCTTCACTCTACTTCTTCACCTCAGTCATGGTTTGGTGTGTGATTACTTTACAAAACTTCCTAATGCTATAAATTAACCCACCATATACTTTTCTAGGCATAATGGATTTTTCAAGAAACAAGGCTAGTATAACTGGTGGGCCATGTTGCAAAATTAATCAGTTTCTTAACTCCTTACAACTAAATAGATTCTAAGTGGATTCAACATTCAAATGCAAAAATTTAAAACATAAAATGCTAGACAGGAATATAGCTGGGAGTTTTCATAACCCTAAGATGGGAAAGACTAAATATGACAACAAACCAGAAACATAAATTTATCCATTGATAAATTTAACCATAAAATATGATATTTAAATTATTTAAAGCAACAAATAGCACAAGACTAAAAATAAACAATGAACTGAGACAAAACTTTTGTACAAATAAGACAGATAAGTAAAAATTACTATATGTAAGAGCTCATATGTAAATAAGAAATGATGTACACCTACAAGAAAAATAGACCAAGGACAAAAATGGATCATTCACAATACAAATAATACATGATAATTACTATCAATGGTGAATTATTTATATCTTTTAGTAAATCCCGTGGAAATAATCCACAGATTTAAAATAACTATGCTTTGTTGAGAAGTCACCTGGTTTACGTAATTAAAATACGTAAAATTTCTGAGATCTTTTAAGTTAATGAGATTTTACCTTATATATCCTGGAAGAAACCCTCATTTACTGTTTGTTGGATTTTGCTCACAAGATGCTGCAAGGCACATGCCAAACAAATAATTCAAAGAAACAAAACAACTCAAAAACACTAAAGTAAGAAAAAGCAAAAATTTTATTCTATATATAGGATAACTCAATATCACTAAGTTATAAGCTGAGATAAAGAAAGAGTAGCTTGATACCTTTATAAAATGTAGATTGCCTCATTTTCATTTTTAGAAATTAAAAGATTAAAAATGTATTGAGGAATTTCACTAGTTTTTATTCTTATTAACTGCTACAGTGCAATTACAGTAGAAATAATAATTTTTTATTTCACAAAATTGGAGACTGTTGGAGATGGAAAAGTCAATTTACAGGGAGGAAAAGCCCCACAATTTACAGAAGAGAAAATGAACCTCTGTGCCTGAGATAACGTGTCTTATTCGAGGTCACATTGTGAAAATAAGGGATCCAAAGGTCATCTCTCGCGGTCACAGAGTAAACAGTGGGTACGCCTCAATCATTTCTATACTTATTGTTGCTTTCCTTTTAAAAAAAAATATATATATTTTATTGATTTTTTTACAGAGAAGAAGGGAGAGGGATAGAGAGTTAGAAACATTGATGAGAGAGAAACATCAATCAGCTGCCTCCAGGGGTGTGCCTGCAAGCAACCAAGGTACATGCCCTTGACTGGAATTAAACCTGGGACCTTTCAGTCCGCAGGCCAATGCTCTATCCACTGAGTCAAACCAGTTAGGGCTGCTTTCCTTTTTAATAGTTAGAAACGGTCATGTGACTCGTTGCTAATGGAAATGGTGAGATATGTCAAAGCATTGCCTGAGAAAAGGTGTTTATCTCTGGTAGAGATTAATTTTCTGCCAGAACCGGTTTGGCTCAGTGGATAGAGCGTCGGCCTGCGGACTGAAAGGTCCCAGGTTCGATTCCGGTCAAGGGCATGTACCTGGGTTGCGGGCACATCCCCAGTAGGAGATGTGCAGGAGGCAGCTGATCGATGTTTCTCTCTCATCGATGTTTCTAACTCTCTATCTCTCTCCCTTCCTCTCTGTAAAAAATCAATAAAATATATATTTTTAAAAATATATATAAAAAAATTTTTTCTAACACTGGTACAGGTTAACTATATGAAATTGTGAAGGTGACAACATTTGTTTTTCAGGCTATATATCTTTTCCTCCTTCTCCCCTTATTTTTTTCTCCTCTTGTTTCTCTACTTCTTCTCTTTGTCCCCAATCATCTCCTCCAACTCTCTCTCTCTCTCTCTCTCTCTCTCTCTCTCTCACACATACACACACATACGCACTCACTCACACACATATGCACACATACATGTCCTCTCCTTTCCTCTTTCTTGTATGTCTTTTCTTTTTGGATTCCTATTTTTCCACAGTTTTAACCATTACAAAGTTCTCAATCTTTAGACTTGCCTTCTCCTTCCCTCATTCTCTTCAAACTCCTCTTTATAATGTCTTATTTCCATAGGACAGAGCCTTCAATCAGCAGTGACTATATGCTAGATGGGGAGATACAAAGGTAAACAAAAGGGACACTACATCCTAATCTCAAGAATTAACAGAGAGAATCCTTTGATTGACTAAATGGATAAACTCATATCTCATTAAATGTTAACAACCAATTCAATCTTCTCTTCTTTACCACCAGTCATATCATTGGGCATTTGTAAAGGAGTAAATATTCAGAATTTTCAGACACCACATGG